TTCTCAAAAGATGATTTCAAAATGACCATAGTAAGGCTGTTTAGTAAGCTGAAGGAAATGATAGAAGAGACTTCCAAAAAGAAAGCATGAGATAACTGCAACCAGAACTCCAAAGAAACTTATAATCCCTACCAAATGATGACAATAAATTCCTTTATCACAGCAATCTCACTTAATGTCAATGACTTTCTAAACTCACCAATCAAAAGGCGCATTTAAAAAAAAATATCCCACAAATGAGTGTAATCATTCTACGTCTGTCCCTCTCCTTCTGACTCATTTCACAATATGATACTCTCCATGCCCATCCATTTATAAGCAAATTTCATGACTTCACTGTGCCTAATAGCTGCACAGTATTCCATTGTGTAGCTGTACCACAGTTTCTTTAACCAGTCATCTGTTTTCGGGCAGTTGGGTATTTCCAGATTCTGGCTATTGTGAATAGTGCTGCAAAGTGCAGATGGCATTTCTAATAGCCAAGGACAGTAGAAACAGAGGCCCCAAGGATTTCCCCATAACTGGACGCCTGCTTCAAGTGATGGAGGAAAAGGCAGCCGGGAAAGACAAGGGAACACTATGACAAAGAAAGAAGGAGATGATCACTCTGAGTAAGAACTGTGTGCTGAAAATAGGTAAAGTAATAAACGTGAGAACCTCTCAGTATCTGTATTGCAAAGCACATGCCCACAAGGGCGGGGAGAGAGAGAGAGAGAGAGAGAGAGAGAGAGAGAGAGAGAGAGAGAGAGAGAGAGAGAGAAAGAAGAAGAAGAAGAAGAAGAAGAAGAAGAAGAAGAAGAGGAGGAGGAGGAGGAGGATGAGGAGGAGGAGGAGGAGGAGGAGGAGGAGAGGAGAGGAGGAGAGGAGAGGAGAGGAGCGGAGAGGAGAAGAGGAGGAGAGGAGAGGAGAGGAGAGAGAGGGAGAGGGAGAGAGAGGGAGAGAGAGGGAGAGAGAAAGGGAGAGGAGAGAGAGGGAGATAGGGAGAGGGAGACAGGGAGAGAGGGAGAGGTAGAGGGAGAAAGGGAGGGAGGGAGAGAAGGAAGGAGGGAGGGAGGGGGGAAGGGAGAATGAGAGAGAAAGGGAGAGAGTGAGGGTGAGAGGGAGAGGGAGAAAGGGGGGGAGAGAGGGAGGGAGAAAGGGAGGTAGGGAGGGAGAGAGAGAGTGAGAGAGAGGAGAAAGTGCCTGCCATAGAGACAGTCTGGGGTGTGAGGTGGCAGGAGGGAAACTAGGAACATTGGTATTGGTGGTGGGAAATGGATACTGGTGGAGGGATGGATGTTAGAACATTGTATGACTGAAACCCACTCTTGAGCAGCTTTGTAACTGTGTTTCTCATGGTCATTCAACAACAACAACAACAACAACAACAAAAAAGGTAGAGTAGCTGGCTGTCTGGTTGGGAAAATGGGATCCAGCATTCTGCTGCTTACCAGAGAACACCTGAACTGCCATCATAGGAACAGGTTCAAAACAGTGGCTGGAAAATAATCTTCCAGATAAACAGTTGTCTGGAAAAAGCCGGGACAACTATATTTATTTTAGAAAACACAGAATTCAAATTTTAAAAAGCTATTTGAGACAGAGATGGACATTATTCAGGATCAGGGGATCGATAAATCAATGCTTAACACTAATTAATACACATGTAGTAAAATGAAGAGACATCAAAATGTATACCTAAATCGCATAGACACCTATTGATATGTACAAATTGCTCATATATCTAAAATAAATTCTCATGCCTAAATTCATAGCTATGTTAAGTGAGTTTGCTGAAAGACCTTGGGGAATGGTAAGAGGGATCCTAGAGACCAGTGGTCAGGAGACGCTGACACTCCAGATGTGGAGGCAGGAGCACTGTACACTTAAAACATTACTATGAGCAGTCCTGAAAATCATGATGCCTAAATTATAAAAAAGGAAGTCAGACAAGTCCTATATAAATGAAAATACTTTGTTTACGAGTTGGGAGTCTCTCATGTTTAGAATGTCAATTCTTCCCAAACTGATATATAGATTCAATGAAATATTTTGCAGGGCTGCTAATGAAATGTTTTGAAGGTGCTCAGGGCTTATTCTAGGCTCTGTGCTCAGGGATCACTCCTGGGTGGTGCTCAGGGGACCATGTGTGGGGCCGGATCAAATAAGGACCAGCTTTTATCTCTGGCACAATAAACTTACTAAAATTTCCATCAAAATCTCATACTTTTTTTTTGTAGACACAAACAAAATTATTCTAAAATTTAGACAAATTGCACATGCTCTACCTAGAATAGCTAAAAACAATTCCCAAAAAAGTAAAATAAAATGGGAGAACACTCTAGCTGATATTTAGGCCTATTATATAATTCTAGTAATTAAGACTGTGGCATTGGCAGAGGGACAAACATACAGAACAATAGAGAAGACAGATCAGAGAGCTTATAAATATAACCAAATATGCTCAATTATTTTAAAATACTTGTACAAATGCAATTCAATTAGGGTAGAAAGAGCCTCTCAAAAAATGATGCTGCGCTGAAAGTAGACTATGGACTGAACATGTTTGCCACTCAATGCCTCTTTTGCAGACCACAACACCCAAAAGGAGAGAGACAACACAGGGGAATGCCCTACCACAGAGGCAGGGGGGGATGGGGGGATGGGGGTGGGAGGGATATTATCCATGGTGGTGGAAAATGGGCACTGGTGGAGGGATGGGTATCTGATCATTGTATAATCGAAACCCAAGCACAAAAATTTGTAAATCTACAACTGTACCTCATGGTGTTTCACTAATAAAAATTTTTAAAAAATGATGCTGGAGGATTGAATAGCCATTAAAAAAATCACCACCTATATTTCCCACCTTAGACAAAAATATGGAACTTTAAATGGACATAAGTGTTGGAACTACAAAACTTTTAGTAAAAACCATAGGCGAAAAATGCGGGTATTTGGACTAAGTGAAAAATTTTAAACAAAAGAACAAGTAACTCAAGAAAATAATTGATAAATTAGACTTCATTGAAAGTAGAGAAGACGGAAAGACAGATTATAGACTGAGAGAAAATATTTGCAAACCATGCATTTGACGAGGTGTCTAGAATATCTAAAAACTCTCAAAACTCAAGAGTGAAAAGCCGAACTACTAGGATACAAGAGGAATACAAGTGAAACCACACTGAAATAGTACTGCATACTAGTGACAATGGGTAAAATAAGAAATAGTGACAATATGAAATCTTGAAGAGAATATGAATGTTACATCCCACTTGGAAAGTAATCTGGTAGTTTGAAAAAAATATGTTATTGGATACAAATAGTCCCGTTACGAGGATTATTTTCAGTTAGAAGGTTCGACATAATCCAAAGTAGAGTGGGAGAAGGAACAAGGGTTTTGAAATCTGGCATGATCTTGGTTTGAATTTTTGCTCCCTCACATATGACTACTGTCACTCCACTTTTAGTGGGTAGGGCGTTCGCCTTCCAAGCGGCCAACATGGCCAACCCGAGTTCGATTCCTCCGCCCCTCTCGGAGAGCCCGGCAAGCTACCGAGAGTATTGGATATGCCAGACACAGTAACAACAAAGTCTCCAATGGAGACGTTACTGGGTCCGCTCGAGCAAATCAATGATCAACGGGAGGGCCTTTACTTTTACTTTACTTATTAGAGAGGTAACATGGTGAGTTAAATTAGTGTTGAAATTTATGTTTTGGGCATAGAAATACCACCTTATTATACCCACTACCAAAATGCCAATTGTCCCCAGATCCCTTATTTAAACTTTCAGTCCCCCCCCACCCGCCGACACACACACCCTCCCTTGCTCCTTCCACCAGTTTGGTGATCTGGTACTTTTGTTTTAACAAAATATAAGACAATCAATCTCCTTTTTATTTACTTGCTTTTCAGTGAGTTTAAATATTTTTTTAAAAAATTTATTAATTTTATTTTGTTTTTGCTTTTTGGGTCACACCCGGTGATGCACAGAGGTTACTCCTGGAATTACTCCTGGCAGTGCTCAGGGGACCATTTGGGATGCTGGGAATCGAACCTGGGTTGGTTGCAAATGCCTATCCACTGTGCTATTGCTCAAGTCCTAGATCTTTTTTTTTTAATGGAATCACTGTGAGATACAGTTACAAAGTTGTTCAAGGTTGAGTTTCAATCATACAATGTTCCAACAACCATCCCTTAACATTTCTCTGCTACCAATGTCCTTAGTTTCCGCCCCCCATCCCCACCAGCCTGCCTCTATGGCAGACACTTTTCTTCTCTCTCTCTTTCTCTCTCTTACTTTTATTTTACTTTTAGGTACTGTGGTTTGCAATACTGTTACTGAAAGGTTAGCACATATGTCCTTTCACCTTCTTTCAGCACTCAGTTCTTGTCTGGAACGATTATTTCCAATAATCTTTGTCATAGAGTTCCTTTCTCTGTTCTGTTTGCTCCTTCCACCCTCACCAGTCCTTCTGGCCCTCATTTCTGCGGTCTTTGGGTATTATACTCATACTATACATTTTTTAATACTCCATAAATGAGTGTGGTCATCCTATGTCCTATGCCCTATGACTCATTTCACTCAACATGATACTCCCTATGTCTATCCACGAATAAGCAAATTTCATGGCTTCATTTTTACCTAGTGGCTGTGCAGTGTTCCATTGTGTAGCTGTATCATAGTTTCTTTATTCACTCAATCTATTTTCAGGCACTTGGGTTGTTGTCAGAGTTTGGCTATTGTGAATAGTGCTGCAATGAACATAGAAGTGCAGATGGCTTCTCTGCATTGTTTTTGAATCCTTAGGGTTATATTCCTAGGTGAAGTATTACTGGGTCATATGGAAGCTCAATTTCTAATATTTTTGAGGAACATCCATATTGCTTTCCAAAAAGACTGAATCAGTCAGCATTCCTACCAGCAATGAATGAGAGTCTCTTTGTTCCCGCATTCGTAGCAACAATGGTTGTTCTTGTTCTTTTTGATGTGTGCCAGTCTCTGTGGCGTTTAAATCTTTAGAGGTTTAGCATCATATAAATTCTGTGTTCAGCTGCTTTAGCAGAAAGGGTGCTTGAGAATTTGGCATTTGTTTCAATGGGCACGTGGGGCCTTTCATCAGGTACTCTGGTTTTGCTCTGTTTGCCACCAGGAGTCATTGTGTCATGCTTTGCTTTGTACATATAAGCACATCTTTTGCCTAGAGAGAATTTTGCTTCATTTCAAGAATAAATCTCTTATTTCACATAAACACAGACTTTAATAAAATCTCTTATGAAAAGTGACAGGTGTTCCCTCTGATTCTGGACTCCTCTTTTATGATCAGCAAAAATGTCTTTGGATCTCAGTCTTCCAGGCATATTTTCAATCTTACTTATTTTTATTAAAAACTTTTTTCGAGGGGGTATGGTGCCGCCAGCAGGTTAATCTGTACCTGTGAGGTGAGTGCATCTGCAGCCTGATGGTGCCTTCAGACATCCAGATAACCCAAAACTGCTGCTGTGCCTTTCGCCAGACCCCAAAAACTTGGGGCAAAGTTTACCAAGAAAGTAAATGGCCAAAAGTTAGGTATGTGGGAGACACACCCACAAACCACCTCTGCTCAGCTATATAATTGGAAGCAAGTCCTCTCTGGTTCCTGATTGAACTGCTTAATGGCCGTGATCCCAGAGACTCAGAGACAAATCTCGGAACCCAGTGGCTTTTGGCAGAAATGCATCTGTACCCCGCAGTAGGTTACTGTCTCCAGGCCACCCAAGGGGGAAAGATTGCTGTCCCTCCATATGCTCCCCTTTGGCGGCTCAGTGGCTGCCATCTTCCAGAGGCCATTGGCCAGTCAGGTTTGGGCCCTCAGTGACGAGACACTCTGGGCCTCACGGGATGGGGGTGGAGCCAGCCCTTTCCTCCCCATTCCAATGAGACCTCGAGTCGCTGCCCACGAATGACCTCTCTGGCTCCTGATCAAGCTGCTAAACAGACATGATCCCAGAGACTCAGGAACAATTCTCAGAATCCAGCAGGTCTTGGCAGAAATCCCTCCAGATTTAATTGTTAAAATTTTGGAATTTTAAAATAGACATCATATGTTATTCCTAACCAGCAATAGAAAACAAATTGTCTACTGTCGTCTTTTTGGCAGATACGAGTGTTGGGGTAAAATCTCAAATAATAATGGTGGGTCAGGTGTCAAAATATTGAATGTAATCAAAGTATAGAGAGAGTAATGTGGAGGTCATCTGCCCCACAGGTAGGACGAGGGTGTGGGATGGGGGTATACTGGGGGTTTTGGTGGTAGAGAATGGGCACTGGTGAAGGTACGGGTGTTTCATTGTAGAATGAAATGTACAACGTGGAAGTCTTTCAAGACTTAAACCTGAAAGCTTTGTAAGTGCTCTCACAATGATTCAATAAATAAAATTATAAAAAATGAAAAAAAAAGTAAGGTGGAGTTCCTGCCCAATTCAATCAGCCCAATCAGTGGCTGAATAAATAGCAGTACTCCTACATTACAAAAAAAAGTAACTTTTTTTGAGGGTAGATACACATCCTGTGGTACTCAGGGGCTATTTCTAGCTCTGTGCTCAGGCGTAACCCTGGTTGAGGAACCATATGTGATATGGGGATTCAAACCAGGGTCATAAGTGCTGCCTGCAAGGCAAGTACTTTACTTCACGAACTATTTAAGAAGTTCACAGGTTGAAACCCAGATTTTCCAATTTAGAAGTCTAATATGATTGACATAGCAATTTGTTGGTTTCTTATAGAATTAAACATGCAGCACAATATGTCAACTGTACTCTCTGCAGTTCACATAGCAGATTTAGTCATAATGATCAAAAGCTGAAAGAAGTTCAGATGTTCTCCTGATGTATGTGGTTGAAAATCTATATATTTGGGACCAGGAAGAATCTCAAAGGGAGGGGGAGGGAGGTCACGCTTTACAAGCAGGAGTCCCAGGTGAGTCCCAGGTACTACAAGGTATCCTGACCACCACAAGAAACAACCCTAGTACCAAGTCTGTGGGAGCCCATGAGCACTGGTAGGTTTCCGTAAATATAAAAATCAAAAGCTTGATATATCCATACTAAATAATACTGTTAAACAATAAAATAAACCAACTACTGATACAACAACTTGGATGGATTTCTAGGGAAGTGCTGAATGAAAAAAGCCAAACTCAAAAGTGATTCCATTTATTACATTTTTTTTGCAATGAAAATATTTTAGAAATGTAGAATAAGTTAGTGGTTGCTAGAATTCTGTGGCTTCCTGGAGGGTGAGTAAGAAAAAGTAGGTTGGTGTGGTTATTAAAAGTGCAGCTTGAGATAGCTTTGTCATGAGGAAACTTTTTGGTATCTTGGCTACTCTGATAGATGTATGGAACTATACATGTGATAAAATTGTCAAAACTAATGTGTAGAAGTAATCCTGGAGGAAGATGTGTGCATTATGTCTATATCAGTATCTTGTCTATTATAACCTACTACAGTTTTGCAAAATTTTACCACTTGGGGAAACTGAGTAAAGTGTATGGGATAGTTTGATATTATTTCTCATAAATGAATGGCGATTAAGAAGAAATCATTTTAATAAAGGTAAAAAAAGGTAAAGGTAAAGGCCCTCCCGTTGATCGTTGATTTGCTTGAGCAGGCCCAGTAACGTCTCCATTGGAGACTTTGTTGTTACTGTGTCTGGCATATCGAATACTCTCGGTAGCTTGCCGGGCTCTCCAAGAGGGGCGGAGGAATCGAACTTGGGTCGACCATGTTGGCCACTTGTAAGGCGAACGCCCTACCGCTGTGCTATCGCTCCAGCGATATTTATTCTCATAAATTCATTTATTCTCATAAATGAATGGCGATTAAGAAGAAAGAAATCATTTTAATAGAAAACAAAATGCCACTGTTGATCATTTAGCTAAACAGGCAGACTCAAAAAAGGGAATGTTTTCCTCTCTAATTCCTGATACTAGATCTCAACATAACAGTAGCACTGTAGCACTGTCCTCCCGTTGTTTATTGATTTGCTCGAGAGGACCCAGTAACATTGTGAGACTTGTTACTGTGTTTGGTATATCGAATATGTCACAGGTAGTTTGCCAGGTTTTGTCGTGCAGGCGAGATACTTTCAGTAACTTTCCAGGCTCTCTAGAGGGGCAGAGGAATTGAACTCGGGTCGACCATGTTGGCTGCATGCAAGGCAAATGCCCTACCTGCTGTGCTATCGCTCCAGCCCAACATCACAGTATTTTATCTTAATAGTAGGCTCTAACTGACTGTTTAGATGATGTCTCTTATTTTATTTTCAAATAGGTTGAAAGCACAAAATTCTGTTATGCTCAATTGAAACTATTTTGAGTAGGAGTGATTCTTATGAGTCTTGTTGGGTCAGCCACACATTAGGTTCTCATATCAATACTGCTGTAACCCAGGACAAATCAAGTAATTTTTCTATTTGTTTTTAATTGAAAAAAAAATGCTTACTATTTACTCAAATGGTTGCTAGAGATTAGTGAATGAGAGTGTACTTGACTGCCTTAGAGGAAAGTTATAATGTAAAGCTGGAGTCAGTAAAGATAATGTTGCTTTCCCTCACGAAAGCCCTGAGAAGCTTAGTTCTGACAGTTTTCTACAGAACCAAAGGCCATGTTTATAATTTTTATCAGCTGAAAGAGTGCTGGAAGGAGACAAGAGTGTTTCCTCATCTGTCTTCCCAGAATTTTGGTAAAAATAAAGAGCACCTTTTCTATTTTTTACAAACTAAGGAACTACATATAGAAATTAAGAAATCCAAAAAGTTGTGGTAGGGCTAGTCCCAGATGCCACCTAGAATATCTAGTATGAGTATGTACACAGTGGAATACAATTCAGCCAGAAAAGAGGAGCTTGCTTTTGCTCTAGTATGGATGGACTGGAAGAGAAACAAAGTGAGAAGGAGAGAGACCACTACCAGATGGTCTCACTGATACATGGCATATAAACAGAGCAAGGGAAGAGACAATTTGCAATGAAAACAAACCCATAGAGTCTGTTAACAGGATAGAAGTTACCTAAAGAAAGGCAGTGGTGGAAGGGAAGAATTCTATGGTCTGTGGTAGAGTCATATTGGTACTTTGGCATTGCCCCTAAAGCATATAAACATTCACACTCTTGTAAACTAATTTAATTTTAATAAGTTAATAATTAATAAAACACTAACCTAGCTGAACTCTATTTTCTAGATTATGAAGACTCTACAAAAGTCATACAGAAAACCTTGATGTTATTTTATTGAGATATATTATTTGCTGTATGATTTGAAATTTAAGTTCTGTTCCTGCAGTTACAGTGTTTTCAAAGTTCTCAATATAGTAAAAATTGATTTTTTAAGGTACAAATTCACAAAGCCTTACAGCTCATGTTCTAGTTGTTTTCTCATTAATTAACAGCACTGTTCATTAAAACACAGTGACCTTTGTTTAATCTACAAGCTGTCTGCTGTGACCATTAAGCTTTTTTTCTGTTTTTTCCTCCCCATCGAATAGCAATTTTTGTGAAGATAAAATGTGGGCATTAAAAACTCTATAACATTTGCACCAATTCTTGAAGAACTGTGGCTAATTAGACATACAAAATTAGTACTGCTTTTATTCAGAATATCAAAATAATCAATTTTCAGCTATGTTTACTTTCTCTCTCATCTCTGTCTCTCATTCTTTGTCTCTGTCTCTGTCTCTCTGTCTCTCTCTGTCTCTGTCTCTGTCTCTGTCTCTCTCTCTCTCTGTGTCTATGATTGTGCTACTGAAAGTAACAGCATTAGCAGGCCTACAAATCTCCTCCTATAATCCCTGCAGGGAAAGGATTCGTGACATTAACCTAGTCTTAAATTGCAAACAAAAGGCATCTGTCTGAAGACTCACAGTTACAATTCTTTGTCATCTGGATTATTCTGCTAGTATAATACATTTAATGAAATGAAGTTAAGATCTAGAGATTGCTCCATGCTTAAATTAGAATGTGGAAATAAATACACAAAAGCAAATAATCTTTCAGGTACATGTATTTTTAAGGAGCATAAAGAGATTCTAATATACTTACTAGTCATCTTTTACATGCCATCACCAGTCTAGCTCTTGTGTTTCCTTTATGATTAAAAGGACACATCTATTAGTGCTGAAAGAGAATTTTTAGAGAATGATTTTATTTTTAAATTATAGGTACTTATTTGACCTGGAGTCGATGAACACACATCAGTACTTTCAGAATCATACTTGCAAAGAGGGCTTGGTGGGTGGTGGTGAGTATGATGGACCTGTACTTAGTAACTTCATATGCAATGAGTAGGGGTGTGCAGAGAAGGATAGAAGTGAGAATGCTGTGGG